TACGTGTTAAATTTAAGGAGAGACGTTTTTTCCCTTTTTTTCTTATGTATTGTGTAAAAGCACTTGTAGTTCTGATGAATTTATCATTCTGTCTGCATGAGGCAATATTTCTAAGTGCATGGTGGTTGCTGTTCCCTGTTTCTTAATGCCTTTGTTAAAATCTGCTCGTAATATACTGAGAAGCTAGCGCTATGTAAGCAAATGAGTTTGTCAGTTCAACTCTCTTGGTACTGGATGTTTTCACTGGTAACAAAACTCAACAAATGGGTTTCTCCTTCCCCCCGCCCCTGCCCTCGCTTCCCCAGTTTTCTTGCTGTTAACCAATAGATCTTTATTAAACAAAGGAATATTTTAGCATTCCAAACCTGGTTCCTGCTTATGCAAACCATTACTCACAGAGGCTTCAGCTGGGCTGTTTGTGAGTATAAGGACTACTCCTCTGAGCAACGATGTGCAAAGTTGGGCACTTTGGAGGGTTGATACTTTAAGTTAAATTAAAGCATTTCCATATAGAGAGTGATTTGTAATTGCAAAGCTGTGACCAGAACAAGTTGGTTTGGGTTTTTTTTTTTAAAATCATATTTTATGGTGTTTCTTTATTGTAGAATAGAAGCCATAAATGCATTAATATTGTTTTTCTACTTCAACGTAATTTTTCGTTAAGATTTTCAGTGTTTGATATGTACAAACTGCTGCAGAAAGCAGTCAGTCTGTAATAGCAAAATTTGCATTCAAGGTAAAGTGAGGTTTTACCGCTCCACTAAGCCATTACTGCTGAAACTGTTGTGGAAATTATGAAGCTGCATGAATGAAGACTTTTTGACTCGGTGTTTATGGTAGTTTCTCAGGTTTAGTTTTAACTGGATGTTAAATGCACTGTGTTTTATAAATAGTTCTTCTCTTTTAGTAACACATTCAGTTCTATGCAGTGTTACATGTCATTTGGCATTTGGTGAATGTGCATGTTTTGAACTGCAAATTTTAAATGTTTTGTCTTTTAATTGTTAAAAAATGAATAAACTTTGCCATTAAATGAAGAAGCTTTGTTGAATTGATTGGTTGCAAATGCTAGAGATTACTTTCAAAGGAAAACACATATCTCATCACTCTTGTTTTTGAATTCTTTAAAATGGGACATGCCAGAAATAGTATTTCAGAAATACCAAATAATTCTTGTATTATTAAAGGAAATGGAAAATGTAGAAAATGATTTTATGGGTTTTTTTAAACACCTGTTTTGAGATGTCTTTTTCAGTTTTCATGTGAAGCCCAGAAAATTAAAAAAAAAGAAAAAAAAAAAAAGGGGGAGCATGGGAGTCTGCAATTTAGTGATTTGCTGCTGAGCTGTAACATATTCGGGTGGTGATACTGTATTTAGAAAGAGAAGAAGAGAAGTATGCAGTACAAGAATGATAAAGTGGGAATAAGTAAACATCATCTCCTTTTTCAGACGACAGCGATAAATAGTGTATCCTTTGTCTATGATAGTAGCAGGTATTCCTTTCCCCTAACAAGGCCCACCCAGTGAATAAAAATCAATATATCCAAACCTCAACTTAGTTTTCATTGTAGATAGGTGACTGATTCTTTATATACACACTAGATAATGAACTTACTTTGTAGATTTTGTATTCTGCCAAGGCAGGTTTAATAATTCCTCTTTCACGCTGTTAGTTTCACAATACCAAGTCTTTAATGGTAGAGCTGGTTTAAGGAGATTCCACCTCAAGGTATGTCACCGCCTCTATTACACTGGCAGTCATGAGGCCATTGAAATTATTCAGGTTATAATCCACTTTATAATGATCCAGGCTCCCTTTCAAATCCTTTCCCTCCTTTCTTATGGCAAATGTTATCTTTAAGCTCAATCATTTCACTAACCTGATGTATACCGCAGTCCCCTGAATTTACACAAGTGGAGAGAACAAAAAGAACAGAAAGGCATTTCATCTTCTGCCTTTGCTAATGAAGACAGCATAGCATGGAGTTACAGCCTCAACGTAATTGCGAATGAAAAACTCTTCACATGAGTACCGTGGAGCAGCAGCCCCCACAAAAGCAGCGGCTCTCTCCAGAGCATCAAGTCCACAGAGCACGTTGCAATACCGCAAAAAAATAGCACCAAAAATTGACTCCATATCCTTAACATTACTGTCAAGCTGTAACTGAACAGTAGTGACAAACTAATGTTGCAATTAGCACTTTTAATTCCAGTGGGTTTGGTATTACAAATAATCCATAAATTTACATAGCCATATACCGTACCACTTACCTAGTTTCAAATAAAATCTTTCAGACGTTCTTGCAAGTATGTGTAATGTTTTTCCTAGCACCGAAGAGTTCTGATGCAGTTTGGAGATACGCGCTTAAGAAACACAAATGTAGGAATACAAACTGAATGGCTGATCTAGTTCATGTCACTGTTATTCTTTGCCCACAGAAAGCGTGGGTTCCAGACGTGCCGTTACCACTTCGTGGCAATCAAAGCATTTTGTGCAGAAATGTGTGTGAATGACAATAATCGATTTACCGTGTTGTTTGTTTCATTTTGATCTATTTTAGATTGGTGTCACTCTAGTAAAATGAGTATGAACTTCATTATTACAAAAGAAATAGTTAAACCTACTGTGTTCAAAAATAAAGGTGGCAGTAAAGCAAGTACTGTATAAACATTACTTCTGATAGCAAGCAATTTCTTTCAGTTCAAGCATACAACTAGCCCTTCAAACTGTTTCGTTAGTCATTGAAACTCTGCATCAGAATGCCATTTGTGTTGTGCCTGCAAGTTTTAGGAAAAAAAATATTTTCTATAAATCACAGTAGCATCAAGGCCAGTAGGTCCTTTTCCTTAGAAAGGAAATCCAGCATTCTCACCTGCACCCTGAATCCATCCGGGTCGGAAGCTACTGGCACAGGCAAGAAGCATTTAGGTCCGTGGGTTTGTATTCTGTTCTCCCCCTTCTCTCTCCCTTCAGCTACGTAAGTCACTGCCACTGTAGCTACATCAATGGTAATTTATAGATTCCTCTTAACTTACAGATTCTCCTTCATTTGCAGATGGTGCATAACCCCCACCTCACCTGCTTCACAGGTAACCCCGTACAGCTGTTTTAACTACCCCTGATCCTTCCCCTCCACAGATCCCCGTCTGCAGGATTTGCTGCACCCTGGCCCCCGGTCTGTGCTTAGCACTCTATAAACTTCCAGACTTCTGTAAGCCTGACTGAATGAAATTATTCCTGTGCGTCAAGTTCTTTAAGCATTTTATGAGGTCAAACCCATCATGCAGCATCAGGGGAGGAAAGGAAGTTGCTCAGAGGGGCCTTCCCTGCTCGGCTGAGTTTCACACTACGTGGCAAACTGCGCAGCCTTTACTTAGGCTGAATAAACGTTAAAATCCTGTTTAAAAAAAAAAAAAAAAAAGCCTCTACTAAAACATTAATCGGCCTGACTGCAGAGCCCACCGGGCCCATTACGGCGAAGGAGCCCGGCCTGTGCAGCGCGCCCCGCCAGACGCTAACTGGCAACAGCCGAGTCCAACTCCTGACTTCTCTGCGTGCAGCCTGTCTGTGAGGAAAACACTGCATTTCTGCTACCCACCACCTGCATCAGTGGCTCTGACGACCAAGTGCTCTTTAAAAGTACATAAAATCGCACCTCCCCGGCGAAAATTGATCAGGTTGCTGCTTCCAGAAGGACCTGTGTCGTCTTGGTTTACTATATAAAGAAAGATTCCTACTAAGTGAAGACTTACTGTAATCTGTAAAAAATACAGTTTCTTTTACTATCTGCTCCTGCTCTATACAGGAATGATCATCAGATCTCACAGGACATTTCCAAAGAGCAGAGCTGGTGTCTGTTGAAATATTAAATGATTTTTCCAAAACCTTACTTGATGGGAAGTCCCACATTTCTTACCCATTCACAATGTGCAGAGTCCTACGGAACATCAACAAAGGTGGGCAACAATTTACCCACCCCCTTCCTTGAAGTTTGTTTCTAAAAAAAATTGCAAATCAAAACACCTTTCAATTCATTTCCCCAGTACTCAATCTACTTTTTAGATTTTTATAAAATGTACACACCACTGTGTATTGTGACTTTAGTTTGTAATTAACAATTACAGTATTCAAGCTAGAGCCTATTACTTATAGCATCACTGTATACAACTTGTCTTTCTGCTTAGAAACCACATTTCCAACAGTAATATCGGTTGGATTGTAATGTTAATTATGCAATAAAAAACATACTAAAAGAGTTATTTCAAAATACTTTTTCATAAATGCCAAGATACTGATTGCTAGACATTTGCTAGGAAAAAAATGTATTCGTCGCTTGAGGAAGAACCAACGAAGCTTTTCTAAAATACAGAGAAGTGTGCTGTAATTCAGAAGTGCTGTAATTTTAATATGCATCGATATGCTAGTATGTGTGAAACAGGTCAGCTATAACGTACTTCAACAGATCCTATACACGGGGAGCTTGCGGCTGATAAAATAGGAAAGTTAGGCCTCGGATATTGTAGATTCTGAGACACAGAATGACTTTGTTCACAAAAATAAGTATACAGAGAAGCCCTTTAATGACTGCATTTTTTCCTGTGTGTTTTCCATTTGCTTGCTGCATGTGTTTGGTTTAGATGCATTTTTTTCTTCTTCCATTTGGTTTGTTGGTTTACTTGGGTGAAGGAATGTAGAAGGGCAAACAAAATTTACTCCTAGGGCAGGATGTTTTAAATTAAAATACCCAACTAATCAGTGTCGATTTTACCACATTTTTACCACAGTTACATATAAAAGACATTCATTACTCTATTAGTTTGCTATACAGTCAGAATTTTATATGGTATTAAATTGCACAACAGGTGCAGTTAAAGATGTAAATCATTTGCAAAAGCAAAATAAACTATTTTTAACTGGAAAAAATACAGTATAGTTACACCATCAAAATGAAAACTCGCTCATCAAACACTATCTGTAGAGGGACATACAGATGACGCAGTATTTCAACCACAGTTTAATGATAAATTTTTTGTGTGTGACTACCAAATAATTAGTGTTGTCAATGCTGTAAATACATTTTAAATTACAAGCTTGTCTTTACATTTTATACATGGCTAATTTTACAAATAAAACTTTTTGATCAGTTTGTCCAACTTACGCGTTGCTGAGCGAAAAGCCAACAATAAATACTTACTTCTGAAAAACACTTAATATAACGCCATTTTTTAGAATTTTATGCGGATAAGTTATTAGTGATACTGCTGAATACATTCTGCTTTTCTCATCGGTAATTATCTGGCTGCTTGGGATTGGCTTGTTTTCAACCAGCCTCGTTAGTACTCATTTTACCTATCGTAGTTAAAATTTACTAATACAGACATGCACTGTAAATTCAGGTACGTGTATTTTATAAATTTTGGTATTTGTAGTAAAATTCTTCCTTTTATTTTCATTGTTCATGGAAGTAGGAAGCGGTCAGCTGTTTTCAGGATCCTCTTTAGTAACTATTACTCCTCTCTTACTTCTCAGACATTGCTGCTTTATAGAACTAGTCTGATTATGATCTGTGGAACGCAGCCACTGTTTGTTAACTAAGTTAATAGCATTTAGGGTTAAAATGTCATTTATAGCACTGTGAAATGAGTACCTTTAGCCCAAAATGGTTTTCCTACTTGTCTCTGAGCGTGTTCTGCACAAATTAGGCTGAACGATCGGAGCAGTCAGCTCTCAGAGCAACTCTCTGGAATATTTTCCAGTTCATTTGTAAGCGTGATCCAAGTTTGGGAAACGAGATCCCGAAGGAGAACCTTGCACTTCTCAAGGGCAACTCACCCAGGGGGACGGTTCTGACTTCTGCAGCCACCGAGCATGTCAGTGTGACACCCGGCAGCAGCGGTCCCTGCGCTTCCAAAGGCTGCGTTACTTCTTCACAACTCCTTTCAGCTCTGAGTAAAGTCGGAGCAGCTCTTCCCAGCCAGGGCAGGTTCTGGCTGGAGAGGATACCCAAAGTACGGCGGGGACACCAGAAACCCTGACGGCTGGGTCAGGTGGACTGCATGGGCTGCCTGGAAGCAGCCAGATGTGTACGGCGGAGGCGGCGATGCCACAAGGCAGCCCGGCTCCGCCCGGGGAAAGGAGAACCTGCGAACCGAGCTGCCGGTCGAACTGGAACTCGTTGCGGTGCTGGATTGCCTCGACGGTGTCCTGAAGCTTGTGGAAGCCAGGATCATGGGGAAAGTCTCGGTCTGGTAGCTCCGCAGAGAAAATCGTATTGGCTGCGACGGTTGTTTGGGTCTTAAACATGTGCAACAATAAACCGCTACCAGAGAGCCCACGATAATGAAGGCAATAAATATTGATCCAACAATGAGGAATGGAACGTAGATTGGTTCTGGGAGAAGAAAGAATAAGAAAAGCCGCACACATTAGCCTACTGAAGCAACAGGTCTGTTGCGGAGAAATAAACTCCGCACCGTTTATGAAGCCCCACATCGTTTCGGTCCCACTAACGCACCGAGCTGCTCAGAAGACAGGGCTTCCAACCATTACCATTAGGACAAAATTAAAGTTTAAACCCTGTACGTACCAGTCAAAACTTCATTCTGTTGGCAGTTTTCACAGTTACCAATGGTAAAAGCTGTCCACACCACGTCCCATTTACCGGTTCCAGTTCGGTTTCGCTCAATCATTGCGCTCCTCTCCCGCTCCCTCACCCCCCCCCCCCCCCCAAAACTGCCAGTCCGGTGTAAGAGCCTGAAACGGCGGGCGCAGCTCAGCTGCTGCAGATGCTGTTAAGTCGCTTCCACTCGTAAGGTGGAAAAGTCGGGCTGAGCGTGTGACTTGGGACACTAGCCTCCCTGCGCGCTGCCGGGTTTCTTTTGTTGGAAACCCTGCCGGCCCCACGCGCGGCGGGGTTGCGCCTGCCGAGCCCCCGGCGCCCAAGCCCCACCGCCGGGAAAAACCGAGCCGAGCAGCCGCGGCTGAGTTTGCCGCTGCAAACTTAAAACCACACCGGCGCCTTCCAGCTGTTGGGACGGGTCCGGCTGCGGGGGCCCCTTTTCACCGTGCATTTAGGACAACGAGCGCACCCCCCACACCCCACATTTCCCACCCCCCCAACCCCCCCACCACCACCACCACCACCACCACCACCTTCGCCGGGCGCCCGCTCCCGCACCCCCGGCGCCTCCTCCCTGTGCGCACCTTGGAGCCGCGCCCGCCTCCTGCCCACCCGCCGGGCCGAACCGGGCCGAGCAGCCCCCGCGGCACGGGGAGTGGGGGGATGCTCCGCGGGGACCGGCTCCCGCCCGCCCCGGGACCCGCGGGCCGGGCACTCACGGGCGGTGACTCCCGGGTCCGGGGGCTCCCGGTCGTTGGTGCAGCCGCCCTGCTCCAGGCGGGCCTCGGCGGCGGCGCAGCAGTAGCGCAGCGCGCAGGAGCCGCAGCAGATGGTGGCGGCCGCCGTGTCGAAGCCCTCGGGGCACTGGAAACCCTCGTGGTAGCCGCCCTGCCCGTCCACCCAGCCGTGGCAGTACTCGCCGCCGCCGGGCTGGCCCCCGCCGCCGCCGCCCAGCAGCCCCAGCAAGAAGCAGCGCAGCAGCAGCGCCCGCCGCCGCCGCCCCGCCATCTCCCCGCTGCCCGCCCGCCCCGTCGGGCCCTCCTGCTCCGCGCGGCCGGGGGGGTGGGGGGGCAGCTGCCCCCCCCCCCCCCCCCCCCCGCCCTTCTTCCTTCCTTTCCCTTCCTCTCCCTTCCCTTCCCCTCCACCCCCGCCCCGGCCGCGCCCCCGCGGGGCCGCCCCCGCCGCGCCCGCTCTCACCTGCCGCCCCCCGCCGCTGCACCCCGGGGACCTGTCAGCCGCACCGGGCCGGGCGGGGGGGGGATCCCGCGGTATCTGCGCAGGGGCGGGGGCGGAGCGGGGGCTCGGCCCGGCCGCGGAACCGGCAGAGCTGAACCGCCCCGGCCCGCCGCCGCGGAGCGGGTCATTGCACTGGCGGGGTATTGAAGCAGCCCTTGCGCTTCTAAGGGTTAAAAAAAATAAGCAAACAACCAAACAAAAAACAAAACAAAACAAAAAAGCACAGCGTATGATTTATTACTAAAGCCCTTTGCTTTTTAACCTGTTTCCTCCATACTTTTTACGTGCTAAAACATAGCAGTACATCCCCAGATGATTTATAGCCTCTTTTAGTCAAACATCAGGCCCCATCACCTTTATTTTCCAAAGGGAGAGGGTGAGTGTGGGGCTGAGGAGGAGGGACACATCTGTTCATATGAGCGTCTGATCCTTTTTCTGCTGGAAGAATAATAACAAGTCACCAAGCATCAGGAAAACCACAAAAGGAACTGCTTATTCATTTATTCTGGGGGGGGGGGGGGGGGGGGGGGGGGGGGGGAATAAATGAACTGAGCAGATTTGGACTTCTGGTTGAAGCAAAGAAACATTTCTTTAAATGATGTCTCCCCTGTGAGCTATCTCAGAGTCTCTCCTGCTTTAACAGTAAAAGTGCTTACGACACCAGAGTTATATTAACGTTGGGCTGAACTAAAGAATTCATTTTTACTGCAGCTGAAACTTCCTGCCATCATTTACCACTGGGGTATGAATATGTATATCAGGGTCTGACCACTTGTCAAACATTTTGAATGCCCGTGTCACTAATTTCCAAAGTTGGCAGGTTTAGTGAAACAAAAGGAACAAAGTGTGCTGTGTACCAGCAATAAAACTGTGCGCCGAGAACCATCTATCAAGACCTTAGACTTCTGGCCAACCCCAAATACAGTCCACAAGCACAATATTTGTGTTTGGTTTCCTTTTAACTAATCTATTCTCTCTTTTTTTTTTTTTTTTTTAATCTGATCCTTTTTTTTTTTTTTTTTTTTCGTTTTGATTTCTTTAAGTATGACCAGTATTACCAGATAGGAAAAGCAAATAAAAAAAAAAAAAGTAGTATAAATGCAAAATATTTTTCATGGCTATTTAACAGGTGTAGGTATAGAAATAACAAAATCGGATATTAAAGAAAATAGATTTCGAACGTGAAGATGTGATATTCTGTCCTAGTCTGCATTTTCATTTTGAAATGATGATGTGAATTAAACTTGTACCAGCTGTCCTGACTCTGAGTTCCCAGTTTTTATAGGCCAATGTTAAATATTAATACAGTTTTGCATTTACTTCGCTGTGGTTTTAGAGCAAACATAGCCTCCATGGAATGTTTTAAAATGTATGGCTTTTAAAGGCCTAATCCAGCTTCCAGGAAGGTCAAAAGGAATCTCTTTGTTGACCAGGATGAGGCTTGGAGCTCAGTAAAGCCTGCAAGGTACGCTTAGCTGTCCTCAGGTGCAGAGGAGAGAGAGACAAGAGATCCGGCCTGTCAGATTTACAGGAAAGCCACATTTGGGAGAAATTGCTAAGTAAATGTGTCACAGTTCCTAAGAATGTTGACTTTCCTAATTAAATCACCAGCTTCCAAAAAAAAAAAAAAAAAAAAAAAAACAGGTTTGAAAAAAATCCATCTGGTACTTGTATTTTAGATATTAAGGTACTGCAGGAACTGCAGAGATACTCTTCGGGGGGGGGGGAGGCTCCCATGCCACAGGCATCAGCAAGACTTTGACCTGGAATTTATGTCTCCTGTGTTGCATCTCTCGTGCTTGGATAGTTAATAAGAAGTTTGCGTCCCTGTTTAGGCAGAGGCTACTCTCTGCTCCCCTCTTGTGTGTAAGCTGGCGGCACTGGTGACAGCTGTACAGGGTCTCCATCAAACAGGCACAGCAACCCTTCTCTTTATTTGACTCCCAGATCGCCCCATCCTGCAAGAAAAATCCTGTAAGGGCTTAAGTATTTGCCTGAAAGTGCATGTGTGGTTGGTTTATTTTTGTGTGGATAAATGGCATTTCACTCACTCGAGTGGATTTATCTCACTTGTGCCAAATAAAAATCAGAGGCAGATTTTGGGTACTGCACTTAAAAACACAGCCAACCTCAAAAGTTGGAGGATACAGGGGCAGATCTCCTGTGAACTGCTGAGGTCTTGACTGGCTTCTTCGGGCTTATTTTTTGCTTTCTCTGAAATACTGATGCAGTTCACAGAATGTGATGTGGCTCTAGTGGAGATGAACTGGGTTGTTCTGACCCAGAGAGACACAAACTTTTGCTCTGCTCCCCTTTTGTGAAGGTTGCATCTGTCTAATCACATCCTTAAAAAAAGTCTGAGATGCTAGCAGATTCATCTATTTGTGTTACTTACTTTAATCTAAACTCACAAATAATTAATACAGGAAAAATGACATGCAGACTGTTGGTGAGCATCCTTCACCTGCAGTGTAAGGACATCAGATGGCTAGGAGTTCCTCGCTTACACTGTATTTTGTTGGATAACATTCCTGCAAAGTAGCCACACCGACTTTGCTTATTATTTATTCTTAGCCAAAGCCTTCCAGCTTCTAGGTGATGTGCCATCATGAATTTTGAATGTAAAACACTGTTTTTAAAAGCCCACGTAGTTATTGTTGTGGTTACTGTTGTTCATAAACTTAGTATTAAAACTAATTAGTCATGTAACAGGCTGAAAAGATAATTTCATTGGTAGCTTAAGGTATCATTACTATTAACCAGACTTTTCTTACTGTGCCCACAGCAAACCCCTGGGGAGAACACATTATAGCACTCCTCATCTGCTTTAGTGCAAGATCAATTTCTCTTAAACGACCTCTGAAACCATGACATCCATGTCCGTAGTAATTACTACACTTCTGCCAAATTGATTGATTGTAAAGCCAGATACTAAAATCTCCTTAAACAGATTCATAGTTTCTACCAACAATTTTACAACACTCATGTTTCTGTGTTTGGACTTTTTTTTTTTTTTTTTTTTTTCTGTTTTCACTATGTTTCTTTGGGGGCTCCTTTAGAGTATAAAACACTCAGTGACCCATGAAGCTCTAGCATGAAAGCTAACTGTATTACCATTTCAGGCGGGCACTACCAATGTTAGCAAAGCCTTTGAACTTTGGCTCGGCTACTAGAGTCCAAGCAGGGACTGAATCTTCCAAACACTCCTAAATAATTGCACACTTCTATCTTGACTAGGGTAGTGATAGGCTCAGGTCACATCTTGCTTGTTGTAATCATCAGGACTGGTCATTTTGCTCTGGCTCTTTGTTAAATATGGTCTTGAATTTCAGAGAACGTAAAGGCTAAATTGAGCTTTCAGCTTCTAAAAACAGCCTGGTGCAAGCAAAATTCCTTTTAAAAAATTAAAAAAAATGGACTATCTAGATTGCAAACTCTTTAGCTACGTGAGTTGCTTCATTAAGCGCACAAGGCCGGTTTTGAATAAAACCCTGTACGCTGCTCTCTAGAACAATATCCTTAGTCTTGACTGGCTGTTGAGAAAGCCTGTCCTGCAACAGCCTTGCTGGGGGATTCACCCACCAGGCCACGCGTGTCCCTGTCACCCACCAGGCCACCCGCGTCCTCCAGCCCAAATGTGCCTCAGCCTCAGCCCCGCGCCCCGAGGAGGCTCCCGCCGCGTCTCCGCTCTCCTCTGGCTGCAGAGCCCCGTCCCGTTGCCTACATCAGCAAATTAAGACAGATCTGCGAAACCCACAAAGTGTGTTTTGGCTGACTGAGTCAAGGGGAAATGTGGTGGTTTTCTTCTTTCTTTTGCTTTGCTTCTTTTTCAGTATCCTTTCAGTTCTGGGAGGGATTGTTCTGGTCTGGTTTGGATTGGGAGCTGCAGCTCTGACAGTCAACTTGTTATGATTTATTTCTGAATAAATGTTTTTGGGATTTGCCCAGCACTGCGTTGTTTTTTACCCCGGTCAGGAATATCACCACATTTTCTGAAGTCCCTCAGGAATACTTGTGGGGTGCGGTTACGTGGGCCAGCTATTCAAAGCAGCACCTCTTACGCTTGCCTCCAACTAACCCATTGAGAAAGCCAGTTACAGCTTTTGGAGAAAAATGTAGAAGTCAGGCTATCTCAGCCTAATGACTGTCAAAATAAGTGAGATTAGTCACACTACAAATGCCTCAGGGCTCACTCAAGAAGTAGGATGTTGGTTTACTGGTATCTTGATACATAAATACACATATCGCAGTAATGTTCCCTTATCTGAAATCTGTAGCACTGCTGGCTGGAGGCGCTAGGTTCAGACTTCAGAAATCATTATTTTTCTTCAAAGGCATCAAGAGCAGAAGACATTTTCAAGTTAGCAATGCAGCCATCCCTGTTCAAGGGACATATTATCCCAGCCACCCCCCATCTATCCTTTAGATCACCCTTGTCTTACATTTGAGCTCTATTAGAAACCGTGCCATGAAACGTGAAAACTTTTGCTTACATACAATAACTTACGTGCAATTAGTGTATCGCTTCCATACAACCACAGCAGTGCTCTTTGCTCTCTGCCTCAGCATCCAGGTGCACATAGAGCTGTTAGAAGTATAAGAGCAAGGACAGATGTCTAGAAGAGATAGGACTTGGTGATCTTATGGGATGTGCAATTACCTTTCCTTCACTCCAGCTGCGGCTAAAAATAGCCTGTCTTATGGCTACCAAGCAAGGTTTTCTGAAGAGGTCTTTAATTTGCTTTTAAACCAGAAATTCCTGTGCTGTTGAATTCAGAAACAAATTCTCCAAGCAACATTTCTCAATCCTG